AAAGGTACAAAAATGTTAATTAAGAAATATACTGAGAAATATTTAAATTGAAAATCGTATTTTTGTGCTATTATAAGCCCGATTTGCCTTCCAATTTTGGGTCATTTTTCACAATTAGAATAATTATTCTGGATAAAATGCAGTGAGCAAATGATCTGAAATTTCGCACATAAGTTATTGGTCTAAGACCTTCATCAAATGGAACAGTTGAATGTAGAAAAATTATTTTCAGCCTTGTCATGTCAAAAAACATCCGTGGAGTCCCTTTAAAATTTGAAAATATTAAAAAGGACATCAAAATGGGCAACACTGTTTAACTCGAATCAGTCTACAAGAAAGACTGCATCATCTTTACAGTAGACTCCTTCATGGAATCTAATTAAATCACCAAACTTTAATTGCTTGACAAAGAAGGTTCGTTTTCCAAACAACTCAAGCCAAAAAGATGATATATATGTTGTATTGATATATATAATACCATTTATGATTGACATAATTTATTATTTTATATCTAACATGTTAAATACAATACAAATGTTATATTCTATTTTAATCAAATGCATCAATATCACCAGCTGTTGACCTGCCTGTACACTATATAAAAAAAGTATTTCAGAAATAGCCGTATAAATTTTTTTATACAATACCTTGTCACGTTGTATCGCCCTAGTTGAGACAATAAAGGAATGACATGACTCAAAATATTATTACTCATTCATTTTTTACATATGCATACTGCATAAGATGCATGTACAGATATACTGATGCATGTAACAGTAGCTGTAAAATCATTCTTTTTAGCAAATTAAGGCTATTTCCCTCCTTATATATAACACTCAGAGGCCTATAAAAAGCCATTTCCTAATTGATAATGATTTGTCTTTGAATTGATGCATTTTTCCCAAAACTCTGAACTTTTATAACTTAGCCTCTTTTTACTTCTCAAATTAGCTATTTTAGCAATAACTTTCCTCAAAATCAAGAGGCTATTGCCTCAATTAAGTGAGAAAAATCACTAATATACAATTTTAAATCATACTTTCTGCACTAAAACAGCATAACTCACTGACTTTAAATAATTTCAGGGCCCTCATCTATTTCACTCCCTAATTCATATATTTATATATTATATACTTTTTTTTACATTCCCTAAAAAAAATTTCCACCTGTTTAACTCATGAGAAATAGTAGTATCTGATTGAAGTTTCTATTTGCAAAATAGAATAGTTAAACTTAAACATGTTAAACTTAACATTATGAGTATTGTTGATGTAAGATTGAAGAAATTCCCCTTTTACTTCAAACTAAAGCAAAATTCCCCTACCCGAGTGTCCCTGGGCCATGTAAGGTAGTTAAGGGCCCTCTTCACCCTGGGATAAAATCTAAAACCCTTTAGATTCCGTCATCTGGGCTCTCTCTTCAATAGGTTTCAAGCTTAAACATCTCCCTAAGAAGATAATGGCTTCAAGAAAAACCATCATGATTTTTTATTCTTTTCTTTTTGCTACATGACTGTATATGTAACTTTATAAAGAATCCCCCAAATGGCAACAATACTCTACTCTTAAAGCTGCACGCACATAACCCACCTGGCAATCCCCTGATGTATCTTTTGGTTGGGGATCCGCTCCGAAAAAGTGGTCACTTTTTTAAACAACATTTCTCAAACAAAAATAAGTGTTTGGGGCCTAAATAAGGCATTTTTTCACCATTTGAGACACCAAAAAGGGGGGGGGGGGTAAGGCGTTAAAAGGCGCATATATGGCGTAATGGGTTAAGACTAAAGACAGTTTTATATTTTCTGGTGAACAAGGTTATAAATAAATGTAAATGAACTGAAATACTTTAACACTGATATTTAAGGATTGTAACTCTTGTCTTCTTATATTAGTCAAGAATACTCCGCATGCAAGGGAAGTAACTCCAAACCATTTTCCAGGGAGACAACCCTCCCACAATACCACTAAAATGTCAATACATATATACTGGGCTATCACTAACTTCTATTTGCATTCAACCCTTCATTTTCTTGTGTGATATGACCATAAACACTGGATAGTTTTATTATCAGGTCAATGGACAAATGCTTATAATATAAAGGTAATAAGTAATAAAATCTCCCATTAGTATTTATTGTTTCTGAGAAAAAATATCATTATTTTTGTTTGAAGAAAAAAGTCGTAATAACTATAAAAAGAGAACAAAAACAAGATTGCATTCGAGAAAAATGCTATGCCACCGCATTAATACAACACTAAATAGTAGTGTAGGAACAGATTTTTGTTTTGTTTCTATACAATTGAAGATTGTCATAATGCATAGATCCCTGACCTATCTAATTCTTATTATCAGATTAGTGGTTAAATCTATTGTTACTCCAATAAAAGATCAGAGTAGGAATATATCAATGCACTTGAGTCTGGTGAATTTGGTGGTGAAGGTCATATTTCATACAGCCTAAATATCATGACTACATCAAAGGACAACACAGAAAGACACTGTCAAAATCTAGGTCAGCTGATATCAAAGTTCACTTTACAACTTAAACTGTGCACATGGTCAAAATTCCATTGCTGTACATCAAAGGAAAAGAAAGTAGGTCACTTTCCCCATGGGCAAGGCAAAATTTTGACCCAAGGGTTTAATTCAAAACAATTTTGATACAGGTCCACCAAACAACATTTCAAGTCAAATATCTAAGCTGTAGCTTTCTCCCATTAAGAAAACATTTGTTTTATTTTCTGTTTTTACAATGTGTACATAATGAGAATCACTGCCCCCTCGCAGGGCCAGTTTTGATACCAAGGGAAATTTTGAACAAACATCAAAACTCTATGCCTTGTACCTTCAGACAAAAATATTTTTTTTTACTAAATGTACATAATGAAAATCAATGACCCCTGGGGTGGAACCAATTTTGACCCCAGGGCTATAATTTGAACAATCTTGGTAGAGGTTCAAGCCTCTACCTTAAAGTCTCATGCCATATATTTAACCTCTAGCCTTTGTCAATTCAGAGAAGAAGTTTTCAGTTTTTACTTTATACATATAAGGAAAACAATCGCCTCTGGGGCAGGGCAATTTTAACACTAGGGGCATAATTAAGACAACTTTAGTAGAGGACCCATAGATGATATCATATATCAAATATCAAAGCTCTAAGCCTTGTACCTCCAGACAAGAAGTTTTTTTAACTATATGTACATAGTGAAAATCAATGACCCCTGTGCCAATTTTGACCCCAGGGCTTTAATTTGTACAATTTTGCTAGAGGTTCACTACACAATGTTTCATGCAAAAAATCTTAACTCTAGCCTTTGTAAATTTAGAGTAGATGATTTTTTAAGTTTTTATATGTCTAAGCTCTAGGCCTTTTGGGTCTTTACAAGAAGATTTTTTAAATTTATTCTTATAATTCTTTTTGGTTGCCATGGCAACCAGATTTCTGCATGGAATGAAATTCTTTGAACAACTTTGGAAGCCCTTCACCCAAGGATCAATCCTGCCAAGTTTGGTTGAAATTGGACAAGTGGTTTTTCACAAGAAGATTTTTGAAGTTCACTATATAATCTTTATAACACACAAACGAACAAACACACACACAGGTGAATAGCTATATGCCACCGCATCGCAGATGCTGCGGTGGCATAAAAACTGCCCTAGTTTATTTAAATCTGCACAGACAAATACATGTAGATAAGACTAAAATATATCAAATACATGAGTCATTGAGTGACACATTACCCTTAATCAAAGTACATGAAATTATTGCTGGAAGGCGATTTTAGAATTATAGAAAAATTATTCATTGATATATTAGTTTAAATGACAATCTTGCCTCACGATAAGTATATTATGCTACGCAATCAAATCGCAACCTTTCGGCCCTTTCTGCCAGTCAAATGATTTGGAAAAACACCTCGGACACAACAGTAAGAATACACAGAACAGATATGAGCTGTGTCATGACAAAACCAACATAGTGCGTTTGCGAGCAGCATGGATCCAGACCAGCCTGCGCATCCATGCTGTTCCCTATCAGTTTCTCTACTTGTTATAGGGTTGGTAAGCGAACAGCATGGATCCTGATTAGACTGCGCGGATGCGCAGGCTGGTCTGGATCCATGCTGGTCGCAAACGCACTATGTTCAAGTTTTGTTGTGACGCGACTCATATGATATTTCGGTAAAAGCTGCGCTAAGAAGCTAAACATGTTAACAAATAGTAATTTACTGACCCACTGAGAGTTGTTGACAAGTTTTTTCTCAGTACATGGTGTATATGAAGTGAAAGTCCATCTAAATTTAAGTAAATTTAAAGTACATATTATATACTTATTATTGATTGTTGTTGTAGAAACCGAAAGTACAAAATGCCAAGCTGTTGACATTAAGTCAGATTTGTTTATAAATGAACATCAGTGGGCATTATGAATGATTTAAATTAAAAACGGTTGTCAGACAGTCATATTTTGAACAAAACAGACTTTATTTTCTATTTTCCTTTAGATGTCAAATATATGCGTTCGTTTTTACATTATTAAAGAATAAATTGAGAATACACTCTCTGTTTCTGATTACTTCTGAAACGAAGTGGTAGAACATCTTTCAAACTGTATTAACTCCAGGGGTTATTATGAATAATAGCTGAGGACATTCCGATTGGCTATGCAACTGTGAAAAATCTCCCCATGAAAAGCGTTGCAACGCATTTCACTCAAATTAAACTAAGATTAGAATAGTACAAAAATATTTTTTTTGAATTATTTCTTAGTGTATTTCTTAAATATCTTTTTCATATCTTTCTTTTTTAAGTACACCAGCTGATCTATGTAAGAAATTAAATTTTTATATTTTTATGCTTTTGAACCTCAGTTGAGTTCTTTTAAATATAGTTGTAAGACACAGATACAAGTAGAATTTTGTTATCCCAGCTGATAAGCAGATAGAGAGACAATTTAATTAGGATATAGATATGGAATAAAAGATTTCAGAAAATACCTTCTATCTACTGCTCAGGAACAGTAACTCATCTTCATTAAAAGCTGTAATGACTGTTATTGTTACCTCCCTTGGCAATTTTGTTCTGAAAAGCACAATAAATATCTTGCCATGAAATATTAATCATTTGACCAAAAAAACAACAACAAACAAACAGAGATAAACTAACATAGATGAACATTTCAGCTACATATATTAAAATTACATACATATCTAAATAAAATAATTATACAACATGTAATATCAATAATACTCTTTTTATTAAACCCAACTCCCATGTATTGCTTCAACATTGTAACAGTTACATGCATTAAATTTTGTATACCGGTATGGCAAATTTCAAGTATTACTTGAGGAGGAAGCCCTCATGTTCCCCTCTGTGCATTATCATATTATCAGGCAGGACTGGGCACCTGAGTAAAACCACCTAACTTATGTTTGTTTATTTTTCGTTCAGTTTTACGTCGCACCAACACAGTATTGTCATATGGCCATCATATGGCGCAGCGCCGAACCAGGAAAGATGATTTTGGCTAACCTCAGGTGTTAAAAACTTCAAAGCAACAGCGGAGGTCAAAAACAACTCACTTTAATACTGGAGCTAAAACATGCAAAGACTCCAGTTATTCAAATTCATTAAGTCACCTCTTACGATCACACAGGGCAATTCTTACACTATAATAAAATTGGTGTCCACATGACAACTACCATCCAGCAAAACAATAGAGTAGACTCAACTAAATTGCAAGTGTCTTATATTGGTTTCCAGCTTTTCACAAACTATAGATATTGCCCTTGGTTCCAGGCTCATTTTTACCCCATTCTGTAGTTGTAAGCCTACGATTTGCAAACCATATTTTAGAAATTTAACACCTATTGCAAAATTACTATGTCAGAGTAAAGCAGATTTTGTGCAGAAAATACACAATGTAGTCAATCTATGGTCAAACAAACAAACAAACTAACTGGCAAGAAAATAGTCAACCAACAGTCAAACAAACAAACAATAAACAAACGAAATACATAATTATAAATAAAAAAATATAAATATATATTATATATATAAATAAATTTAATAAATGATAAATTCATTTAACCAACTATATAAATAAAAAAATAAAAATAAATAAAAAATTTATAAATATAAATAAATAAATTTAATAAATAAAAATAAATAAATAAATAAATATATATATAAGAAATAAATAAATAAATAAATAAATAAATAAATAAAAATGTATAAATAATTTTTTAAATCAGTAAATTAAAAAAAGAAGGAGTTTAAAAATTTGAGAGCTAGAACTTACGGTACATATTTATTTATGCGAAATGTAAAAACTGTATATAATTATAAATCTTACTTCAGAATCTGTAAATAATCCTCAAAAGTCAGGAAGAGAGAACAGTGCTTAACTTTGCAGTCCTTCTTACAGACTGGCAGTCATAAACAACTCTTCTTCAACTTATATACAAATTAACTTCTTATTAACAAGTCACCTTCCTTGAAACTGCATTGATCAGAAAAACAACTTGACATTTCTTCACAAACAACTTAATAATCATATACCGGTAGATATTATTAAGGTGTATCTATAAATATACATCCGAGCGTGATTTCATTCTTAAAGGATTGTCAAAAATTATTTTCAAACTTCCGGCTAGCAGGTGTACAAACTGAAAGCAATTCCAGGGTTCAAAACCACCTCACCTGCTGTAGCTAAGAGATGCATAAGGTGTACAAACTGAAAGCAATTCCAGGGTTCAAAACCACCTCACCTGCTGTAGCTAAGAGATGCATAAACTCCAGAAATTAGAACCGATTTAGTTGCCTCTTATGATCATGCAGGGATAAACTACATGGCTGCAATTCTCCTGCCTTAACCCTAAAAGGCAATCGGCCTTGGACACAATGGAACTCCTGTCAGTGTAAGACTAGTGGAAACCATGACAACCAACAGGGCTTTTTTGCACTAAACCATTTAGTTTTCTCTCATGATCATGCAGGGCTAAAGGGTGGCTGCATTTTCTAATGCCAAAAACCCTTAAATACAACCCCTAAGTTTATACTTTATAGGTCAACAGGGCTTTTTTGCACTAAACCCAGGGGCAGATAAAAGGCCCCAATCCAAAATAAGCTCATTTTTACCCCAAAAAAATATTCCTAAAAGCAGCCCCCTGTTGCCCCTCCCCCAAAAAGCAAAAAAAAAACATTACAAAATCAAACCTTTTAAAAAACTTAAAACAGTTAGTTTTGACTTGTTTTGTAAAAGATAAGTGACAGGTTAAAGGCTACTTGTTCACACACTAAGAATAAACTGAAAAGGTGTGTCTTATTAAAGGTAGTTTTTCATTTTTTTTTTTTAAATTTGCCTAAAATGGCTTACAATTTTTCCCAATTTAAGCTATGGGCCTTTTCCCAAAACTGCTGCCCTGGCCAATCAGAATTTGCTGTTGTGTGGCCACACTTTCTTTTAAGGCACATTATGCCTGGGTAAATGAATTAATTTTTCATCTATGCAGAAAGGGCAAATATTTGTTGTAATAATTGATTTAGAAACATGCGAGATGCTGGTCACCCAATTAAAATGATGTTGAACTTAAACATGAAATTTAACTCGAGATAAAGCGTAAAGGTAGTAAAATGTAAACAAAGTGATATTTTGACTTCCATACAAAATACTAATTCACTATATATGAACTGCACTAATTTCCAAAACACAAAAGGACAGACAGTCACTTTGCGCAGATATATCCATCATGTCAGTCAATGTTAAATTTCTATCTCAACACATTAATTTAAGTCATTTACATCAGAGTGAATTGTACATGTATAACAATGCAGACTTGGATACCACTAAAGTTTTTCAAAATTGCTCCCAACTTTAATAGGTATTGTATTCACTACAGTATAGCAGAAGAATTTCGTCAAACAAGTTCAGTGCATGACCCTTCAGGGTGGTCACTTTAACAGCGCAAGCCCATTTGCAAAATCATGTTAATTAAGAAATTTGCTATGGTTTGTCAAGTAATGAATAGTATTCACTGGAGGCTCATCAGTAAACCGTACAGGGACCTGAATTCTTATTTGTATGGTCTTAAGACTTGTAAATGCTTAATTAACAATGGTAAGGAAGGGGAGGGGGATGATGCTCCCAATGAAAAGGGATGGAGTCCTGATAGAGAAAGCTGTTTTAAATGTAAACTGTTATACATCAACTTTACGCATGTTTAATTCTCTGGGGTCGTTGAATATTTTCACTCTGGTAGCAATGAGTACTTTTTACATGGGTGTCTAGTATACTAAAAGCAGGCATCAAAAACTTTTCAGAGTTACCCGTCCTGAAAGACGAGTAACTTCTAAATCCAAAATGCAGGCAACATTTTTTTATTCGTCCACGGTCCTGCATCAAGTTTTCTTAAATTCTACTCGTAATTACAAGCAGAAGAGTCGAATTTTCGATCTCTGGAAAGATACCCATGGGGGCTTACATGTAGTACCACTGAGGATGACAATAACCTCAACTGAGGTAGTGGGGATGTGGCTTGTTAACGCGTCAGACTAGAAATCTAAGGATTGCTGGCCGCATGGGTTCAAATCCCGTCATTGTTTTCACATCAGAGCAAGAAACTTAACGCTCATTAGGAACGGATATAAGAGTATTTCAATGAGTTTACATCTTCCAACAAAAAACTAAAATAAATTAGTTTAAACTTTAACAGTGCTCAGTTATATATAAACCTTCAAATCCAACCACATCCTGCCGTCATGGGCACAGAACTTGTCCAACTAATAAGTCTTGTCAAGGAAACAGCGTCATGCAGTTTCAACAAAACATTTTGAGCATTATCTGTGTAGAAAAATGTAGTTTGTGGTTGGACTTGGAAAAAGACATTGCCCATCCAAAAAAAAATCTTGTCTATTTGACAAGTCTAGTAAATTGGACTATATATAAATTATAATATTAAAATAAGAAAGAAATGAAGAAATACAACACGTCAACACCAGTGCAGGTCGAGTAATTTAATAATCTACCCGTTTCGGTTCTGAAACAACCTTCATCAGGCGAGATTCCGACCCAGAACAAAAAATATATTAGAATCTAACTTTGACTTTGGCACGCCAAAATATTTTGACTAGACTTTAAATTAACTGTTGCAATTTGCATTTAATGAAAAATAAACTTTTTTAGGTCTTGATTTGCATTACAGGCAATATTACAACTTAGTATTTAATTTGAGAATTCATATCATTATAATTTAAGACTAATAATGTTCATGTAATATGACATATACATGTAGGCCTAGCCTAGAAATTATAAACTTACAGGAAATTTTCTGAAATAATCAAGTCACTGTATACAGCCAAGAAAAATTAACAAACTTCAATATTTTTTAAACACTTTTTTCTTGTAAGTTACTAATTCTTAATCTTAATCCACAAAAAAATTGACGTGACCTAATTTATTATCCCTAGGAGGTCACGAAGTTGTAAAAATTGTAGGTGGAGTCGAGTTGACCTTATTCTGGTGGCGGCAAGGCGGTGGTTTCTTTGATCTAACCGTTATTGATGCCGATTTAAATAATCGTTATTTATGATCATATTCTAAAGAAATACATTAAATGACAACCTTACCTAGAATATTTATGTTTCCTCGTCTATGAAAATTTTTAGCACTGTTTACAAATTCATCAAAATAAAATTTTGTTTATCCTTTTAGCTGAATTTTAGGAAATCCCAACAGCGTATTAAACTCCTGTATGCAATTACCGATCCTTTCCTGCATCAATTAGACCAATCATTCAAGCATTAACAGAAATATTATCAGTCGATTACACAGTTAAATTGTTTGTGTATCTCACTCCCACGCAAAGATGATCGGCCATTTTGATTCTCAAAACAGGTGCGCGTTTGATTGGCTCGTATCAAAGTGCCGAAATTTTGTTCTAAATTTATCCCATTGTTTACATTGTAAACAAATATCAGTTCACTTTGTTTAAAACTATGACTTTACTCTTCTCCTAATCGAAATTGCGCACAAAGACATCATAATTTTTGGTTTTTACTATGTTTCGGAAATACTGGCATCGATCGGGCTTTTACTCGGTTACTAGGCAATGCCAATTTACGCAATAGTATGACGTCATTCTTTTATATACTAGGAGAAAATCGAAGGCATTTTGCTCTACAAAAATACTGTATTGGGGAAAAACGATTTAACCAATAGTGTCTCACCGGAGAAGTACAATAGGGATATTTAAAAGGCTATTGGAATAACAGAGCGCAATTGAACATTAAGGTCGTTGACAGCTTGAATTTCCATGTTATCTATATGACACCATCTTTTCGCAAGCTTCAGCCAGTTTGAAGACAATATTATCATGTTTGTTTAAGGTATATATATATTATTTTGTACAATCAATAATATATGATATAATTATTATACCATAAAAGGAACAAAATATATGAAATAACATAGGCCTACCTTTTTAAATCTGTCTGTGCGTCTGATAGATTTTCTTTTAATTTTGTCCTTTTCTTGTACTTTTGTAACTCGGATGCTTTAGATTTTTAATTTAAATTGTAACGAACCTTGTAGCCTAAAAGGTTATAGCTACCTAGGGCATGCCTACCCGATGTCTGGTACATATGGTGCAACTTCCAAGCGGACAAGCTAAGAATAAATTCGACTTGTCTTTCTGTACAGTTTTCAAAAGTGCTAATTAATACTTTCCTAGAAAGGATTGAATACTTACATCATTACATGTAACTAGATCTTAAATGTCACTATTCGATACATAACAACAACAGCTTACTATTGTATGACTCATGAAATTAACAAGAACTTATAGCGTTCATTTTATTTATAGAATACAATATGTAGAAGAAAAATAATTCAAATGAACTCGTATTTTATATAATAAAAGTAATTTTACAGAACTCGGGATTGCAGACCAGCTACCGATTCTCTGACTAAAGTCGAGGGGAGTGACCTCCTAGTACGGTTTGAGAGACAGGTCATTATAGACCTTTTCGGGACTACCACAGCTTTTCGGTTACTGTAAATAAGGTTCTCATAACCGCCGTACAATGACGTTCTTCCGTCTCAAAATTAATGCTCATTGGAAATTGCATGGGCTGTGCTTCAAAATTAACCCTTAAAGGGCATGATTGGCGGCATGTCCGGGTCCATACATTTAGTGTTTTTAGAAGTCAGATACTTACCTATTCGTCATTAACAGAAAATCTAAAGCTAATAATTAAGATAAATATATGTTATAATTATATATGGTTAGTTAACACGAAAACTATAACTAGTAAGGTAAGGCAGATAATTAATTTGATATCTAGGTGCCAGAAATATGCCACTAAACAGGAAGGAGCTAAATGAGTTAAACTCATTTTTTTTGTGGTTAACTTTTATATCATAAATATAATCCTCAAATGGAGATTTATCAATATAGTAAGTTCCAAAAAACATTAATTGTAAAGATATTAACGAATTTACATTTCATGTAAATATATATAAAGGGAGTTAATTAGAAATTATTTTCGATAAAGTCTAAGACGATTTTTTCAATAAGAAATGGATGCATATATTTTAATGATTACATATAATGTCGACACATATTTGCAGTACATATTTTACATATTCTTCGATGTTTGAAAATTGTTTTAGAAGCATAATTACATACATATATAAAATTTCACTTAAGTGTGGTTACAACCTTGATTACAACATACAGGATCTTTAAGAACTAATCATATGATTACTTGCATTAAATTTACAGTAAAACCTTAATTTGAGCCGTGTCACGACAAAACCAACATAATGGGTTTGCAACCAGCATGGATCCAGACCAGCCTGCGCATCCGCGCAGTCTGATCAGGATCCATGCTGTTCGCTATCAGTTTCTCTACTTGTAATAGAGTTGGTAAGCGAACAGCGTAGGCCGGTCTGGATCCATGCTGGTCGCAAACCCATTATGTTGGTTTTGTCGTGACGCGGCTCATTTGTATGTTCAACTCTTTGTACTGTCAATGTCATTGCACTCAGCAACTACCCTAAAAGTGAAAAACATGATTCGATGAATTAGCAACAACAATATTTTCACGTAAACAGGCCTTTTAAGAACTAGTTTACCCAGCCGCATGTGGTATATAATTAATAACATAACCACGATTTTAAGGTATTTTCTCAGTTTACTTAGTTGTAAAAGAAAGTTGTTAATTACTTCAAAGTTCTGCGTACTAACTTGAGCAAAATATTGGAGAATTTGTTATCTAAATTTGCAGACAATATCGATAATTTTCTTTAACATTACGACACAGAAAAATGTGTGCATAGTTTTAAGCATGTAATATAATCATCATATTGTTTTCTAAATTGTAACATTTAAACATAAGTCAAGTACGGTTATAACACAAAATCCATTTAGAGCTCCTATTTTTTAGTATCTACATACAGACTGCAACATACTAGATATAATATCACCATATACATGTTATGGGGCCGTTTCAAATTGCGTTGCGATGGTCAGAGTCCGTGCCATGATGGTCGGCTGTTCGTTAGTTTTGATGGCATGGTAGCTTGATCCCATTTCATTTTTGCAATCGTAACAACTCTACAATCTCCGTCAAGTTCTTGAAGTCGCCCGAGGTGTTCCGATTGTCATTTTTGTTCGTCTTCTCGGTCCTTTCTGTCAAAATTCAGAAAAGAACTATATATGGTGTCCCGTTGTAAAATGGTGGCCGTATCCCATAACATTTTTGTTAATTAGTTCTCATGCAAGGCGGCTGTGTCCCATAACAATTCTTGTTAATTAGTTCTCATCGCAAGGCAGTCTTATCCTGTTACATTCTTGTTAATTGGTTCTAATGGCAAGGCAGTTGTATCCTGTTTCATTCTTGTTAATTAATTCTCATGGCAAGGCAGTTGTATCCTGTTTCATTCTTGTTAATTAGTTCTCATGGCAAGGCAGTCGTATCCTGTAACATTCTTGTTAATTGGTTCTAATGGCAAGGCAGTTGTATCCTGTTTCATTCTTCTTAATTAATTCTCATGGCAAGGCAGTTGTATCCTGTTTCATTCTTGTTAATAAGTTCTCATGGCAAGGCAGTCGTATCCTGTTACATTTCTTGTTAATTAGTTCTAATGGCAAGGCGCAGTTGTATCCTGTTTCATTCTTGTTAATCAGTTCTCATCGCAAGGCAGTCTTATCCTGTTACATTCTTGTTAATTGGTTCTAATGGCAAGGCAGTTGTATCCTGTTTCATTCTTGTTAATTAGTTCTCATGGCAAGGCAGTCGTATCCTGACATTACATTCTTGTTAATTAGTTCTCATGGCAAGGCAGTCGTATCATGTTTAATTCTTGTTAATTAGTTCTCATGGCAAGGCGGCTGTATCCCATAACAATTTTTGTTAATTAGTTCTCATGGCAAATCAAGGCAGTTGTATCCTGTTAATTTTTGTTAATTAGCTCTCATGGCAAGGCGGCTGTATCCCATAACAATTTTGGTAATTAGTTCTCATGGCAGGGCAGTTGTATCCTGTTACATTCTTGTTAAATAGTTCTAATGACAAGGCAGTCGTATCCTGTTAATTTTTGTTTAATAGTTCTCATGGAAAGGCAGTTATATCTTGTTACATTCTTGTTAATTAGTTCTCATGGCAAGGCGACTGTATCCTGTTAATTTTTGTTAATAAGTTCTCATGGCAAGGCGGCTATATCCCATTCCAATTTTTGTTAATTAGTTCTTATGGCAGGGCAGTTGTATCCTGTTACATTCTTGTTAAATAGTTCTCATGGCAAGGCAGTCGTATTCTGTTAATTCTTGTTAATTAGTTCTCATGGCAAGGCGACTGTATCCTGTTAATTTTTGTTAATAAGTTCTCATGGCAAGGCGGCTGTATCCCATAACAACTTTTGTTAATTAGTTCTCATGGCAAGGCAGTTATATCTTGTTACATTCTTGTTAATTAGTTCACATGGCAAGGCGACTGTATCCTGTTAATTTTTGTTAATAAGTTCTCATGGCAAGGCGGCTGTATCCCATAAGAATTTTTGGTAATTAGTTCTCATGGCAGGGCAGTTGTATCCTGTTACATTCTGGTTAAATAGTTCTCATGGCAAGGCAGTTATATCTTGTTACATTCTTGTGAATTAGTTCTCATGGCAAGGCGACTGTATCCTGTTAATTTTTGTTAATAAATTCTCATGGCAAGGCGGCTATTTCCCATTCCAATTTTTGTTAATTAGTTCTTATGGCAGGGCAGTTGTATCCTGTTACATTCTTGTTAAATAGTTCTCATGGAAAGGCAGTCGTATTCTGTTAATTCTTGTTAATAAGTTCTCATGGCAAGGCGACTGTATCCTGTTAATTTTTTTTTTAATAAGTTCTCATGGCAAGGCGGCTGTATCCCATAACAACTTTTGTTAATTAGTTCTAATGGCAAGGCAGTCGTATCCTGTTACATTCTTGTTAATTAGTTCTCATGACAAGGCAGTTGTATCCTGTTACATTCTTGTTAATTAGTTCTCATGGCAAGGCAGTCGTATCCTGTTACATTCTTGTTAATTGGTTCTAATGGCAAGGCAGTTGTATCCTGTTTCATTCTTGTTAATTAATTCTCATGGCAAGGCAGTCGTATCCTGTTACATTTCTTGTTAATTAGTTCTAATGGCAAGGCGCAGTTGTATCCTGTTTCATTCTTGTTAATTAGTTCTCATCGCAAGGCAGTCTTATCCTGTTACATTCTTGTTAATTGGTTCTAATGGCAAGGCAGTTGTATCCTGTTTCATTCTTGTTAATTAGTTCTCATGGCAAGGCAGTCGTATCCTGACATTACTTTCTTGTTAATTAGTTCTCATGGCAAGGCAGTCGTATCATGTTTAATTCTTGTTATTTAGTTCTCATGGCAAGGCAGTTGTATCCTGTTAATTTTTGTTAATTAGTTCTCATGGCAAGGCGGCTGTATCCCATAACAATTTTTGTTAATTAGTTCTCATGGCAAGGCAGTTGTATCCTGTTAATTTTTGTTAATTAGTTCTCATGGCAAGGCGGCTGTATCCCATAACAATTTTTGTTAATTA